GAGGAGTGCACAAGCCATAGTCAATGACCACACCTGTATAAACACCTGCAGCAGTTCGATGTGTACCACCTAAAACACGATCTCCGCAAACCAGCTCATCACAGGACCGCCACTGACCAGTAGCCAAAACGTTAGAAATTGGCCAACAATGAATTTCCAAATTGAAGTCACCCATGATCACTGTATCTTCACCACCAGCAGCAACAAACTCGAACAGCGCACCCAGCGCACGGCTGGCAGCTGTGCGATCTGAAGCATGTAAGTAAACATTGATGAGAATCAACGGCCTTTGCTGAGGTCTATAGAGTTTGACGGCCATGGATCTTTCCACCGACACCATGTCGACAGGAAGGGCCAAGGCCTCAGCAGGCCACTTTGTTAGAACCAATGTACCACCTTCCACTACATTTTTCGAATTTCTTCCTTGAGGGCCAGGAAAAAGTTGCCACCCGCGTGCCTTGACGGCACGAGTCACAGCATTCCAGCTGTGATTGTTAACTCTAGTTTCTTGAAGACACAGAACATGTAAATTCTGGAGCTGAGCAAAGTCAAGCACACCACCCAAGCGGCCTCCCAAGGACCGTACATTCATAGTCCCCAACCGCATAGTGCTGTCAGAGCCCGTCATGGGTTCTGATCCACAGCGCCATCCTGCTGCAATCCCAAAATGTCCAAAGCTCGCGAAGCAGCTCGCTGTCTGGCACTTGGAGCCTGAGCCGCAAGAGGCACCAAAATATCCCTCTGGCCCTTTCGAAACTTAGTCCAAACCATTTTACGAGGACACTGACTTCCTGTAAGCCGTCTGATGTTGTTGACACAACGCTTGCAATGCACACAAGCAAAACGCACCGTAAAATTGGCAGGCCACACAATGGCCTCAATCTGATGCGTGCTGTCTGCTGCAGTATCAGTGGTGCAAACTGCTCCAGAGTCGATGATTTCCAAAACTGTGCGGGCACCCTTCTTGAGGTCATCGCTGATGTCTGCATTTTTGAGGCACGCACGCAATCTTTCCACCAACTGCTTTCGTTTGGGCCCTTTGCTGGAAGCATACTGTTCACAAGCAATCTTTGCCAAACGCTTCGCTGTCAAAGCCATACTGCCACAAGTTTTGCAAATGACGTAAGACATTCCAACTCTTTTCTGTTTGCCATTTCCTGTGGCTGGAATGGTAACGAAAGTGGGGTCATGTGCTCCAGCATCGCCACGCTTGAAGCCAAGCAACCTTCGAGCCACTGCAGCTGCACGCACCTGGCGCGTGGCTTTGCTAGCATTCTCCCGTCTGAAGCTGCTGTCCTTGTGGAAGAGCTTGGCATCCGCCTGAGGATGTTTGTCTTCCCTATGCTTGCGGATGACGCTGTACACTTGGCCAGGTTTGAGGTTGTGATCAGCGGACAAGCCAAGTTTGCAAACAGGACACTTCCAGCTATAGACTCCTCCCTTCTTGACTGCAGACAGCGCAGGCAAAGTGTTTTTGAAGCCGATTTTCAACTGTTCCTTCTCATCGGGATGCCAAGCATTGATATGAGCTCTCTTCTTGTCAACCCATCCTTTGCACACCCCAGTGGAAAAGTCACACAAAGGGCATGTCCACTCAGTACGCTTAGTGCGTCTGGACGAAGCACTGGCTGCGTCTTGTCCTTCACTGGCTGCACGTGGCGTGCACGGACCCCGACCCGAAGTAGCAGCCGCAGGGGAAGAAGAATTCTTGCGCTGCTCTGACAAAGTAGAGGCGGGCGCGGGGCTAGCACACCTTCCACGTTTCTTGTTGCTATGAACCAGTGACGGCAAAGCTGACAATCTGGTGGCACCAACTGAAGTAGCGCCACATTCCGATCCTCCACCTCTGTTGCCCTGCATTGGACCATTTGCGGCCTGAGTCAAAACTTCAGGAGGGAAAGCACCTTCAAGTCGTTCATAGTGCTTTGAACGAAACCACAAAGCGATGGGAGCACCACCCTTGCCACGACCATTGTAAATCTCCGGAACCCCACGAGGCTGGAAGACAATGATCGGGCGATCGTAGTGCACAGCCGCAGCAGAAACTTCAAGAGCACTGCCCCAAGCACCAATCTTTGAGAGCATGGTGAGATAGCTCTCCCATGATTCGCAAGCATTCTCCGCCTCTGTTGGCTCCTTGCCGTCCCACCAGGGCTTGTAACGACCCTGGTGCTTGGTCAGGTGGGTGACAACGCTTGCACGCACATTCCTGGCTGTTTTTCCGCCCAAACTTTGAGCAAGGGCTTCAAAAAGACAGTTGCCGTCAGCAGGGATGCTTTTCACCTTCATATTGTGAGGGGGCTTGGGTTCCCCCGCAACACGCTTGGCCGGAGGACTCTTTTCAGGAGTACTGACAGTTCTTTTTGCCCCAGCGGGTTCTCCAGCATTGTCCATCTTTGCGTCCGACTTGTCCTCGTCCAAATTCTCAGTAGGAACCTTCTCAGCCCCTGCAATAGTCACTGGCTTTTTGACTGGCGTTCCCATGTAGAAAGATCTGCGAGGAGCAGGCGTGGCAATCGCCTGCCATGCATGGCTTTGGTTATAACTGACCCTTCCATTGCTTGCCAGTTTCATGGTATGTGTTCTCTGACGTCTTTGTCTTGGAGCTTCAACAGCTACAATGACTTTTTCGCCAGCCTGAATTTCAATGAAATCCAGATCCTTTTGAGCATTGGCCTGCACCCACCATTCCACTTGTTTGCCCACAGTTTTCCGGGACAACACCTTGGGTTCAGTCAGGCCAGCACGTGTAAGTTCCTGAGTCAAGGTACTAGCCGCCCAATCTCGCGGAACACCAGTGACGCGCCAAGCTCTGGCCTTAGGAGGAGGTTCGGCGCTCCTGGGCTTACATACTCCCAGTCCATTCCATCCCCGGGCAATGCCCAGGTCACCAGCCATGGACTGAACCTTCTGCAAGTAGCTGGGCCCATCAAGTTCCGAACTTTTCTTGACCCACTCAACATCGCAAGATTCAATCACGGAGTTGTTCCATTGCAAAGGCTCCACAAACCAGGTACTTTTGCCTGAGCAGCCTAGAAGAGCTTTGGCAGCACTAATGCGTAAAAGGCCAGTGATCACTGGCTTGCCTCCGCCTTTCATGCTTTCTTGCTGAAACGCCCACATATCAAAGACTTTGTCCGCAACATGCTCTGGAACATGCCGATGCAACCAAGCCTGCGCGTTTGCCTTTGGCTTGGCCTGGATGCTCTGCCACTCGTTGTTTTGCAAATATTTTGCATCAACACTTAATCTCACTACAACAGTTTCAGGCTGCACTGCAGGAGCCGCTGACACAACGGCAGCTCTCTTGAGTGATGGCCCTTGGCCTTGAAGTGGGATCACAAACGCCTGCCTGGGCTGCACCTTGCCCGAGATCTTTCCTGGCACCATCCGCAAAGGTCGATCCTCCTCAGTCTGCTTGGCCTCTTTCGGCGCTAGCATCACAGCTGTGATGTTGAGCTCTCTTTTGATATCAGGGGAATCGCCTTTCAGCAAAACCTGCAACTCCTCAAGTTGCTCTTCCGAGTTCACTTGCGCTGTAGCTGAAATATTTCCAGGCTTATCCAGTGCGACACAAAAGTCATCAAAGCCCAAAATGGGCCCCGTCCAGTCTGACTGACGCAGGCTCCACACCGGCTTAAACGCAGTGTTGGCTCGAACCACTTCAGCAAAGGTCTTGGGCGTTTTGTGGGGCTGCTGCTCTGTGTGTGGCTGTTTTTGGACGTCCGCCTTTTGCTTAGGATGTGGTTTCGAAGTATTCTGCGGAGGCTGAGTAGGAGGGGAAGAAGGGTAATAACCACCCCCTTGGCCGTAATCCCCCAGACCACCATCACCGCCCTGTTTATTTTTGTTCTTGTTCTTAGTCTTCTTGGGTTTGGCACACCCGCCATGGCCCATCATAGCACTGAGCTGTTGAAGCAAATTCCCACCGCCACCCCCGAGTCCCAACAATTGGAAAAGCTGAGAGAGTAGTTTGAGAATCTCACCTGCTTGTTGCAAATTGAAGCCATTTGCTTGGTTATTGCTTTGTTTCTGTTTCCTTTTGCGAGCTGTTGCTCTGCTTCCTGCACCATTGCCATGCATGGCATGCATCAATGCGTTCCGCTCTTTTGAAGACACAGCCCAAATCTTCTGAAGCAAATCGAAACTTGCAAGCACCACATCTGAACAATTCGTTTCTAAGCACTGCCAAGGCCCATCAGCAATGCATAGACCCGCAGCCACCGCGCGGAGGTTGTCCAGATAGCTGCGAAAAGAGGACGCATCACAGTCATGATGAGCGAAGACGGGTGCGTGGTTTGCCAAGAGAACGAGAAGGAGGTGCAGCAGAGGCCAAGAAGAAAAGCACCATATGAGTGGAAAGGAATGACTCTGTTTGGACAGATGAAGAAGAAGGAAAGAAGGCGCTGGTCGAACTGCCGCATGGAGTTTTTGAGGTGGAGGTGACAGACGGCGCCGAATGGCAAAGGATCAGGGCTGCAGAGGAGATGGATCAGGAAACATTTGAGGCATTCCTTCTCCAGAACAAGGCCAATGGGAAGGAGTTGGATCCCAGGTACTTCAATGAAGAGGAAAGAAAGGCGTTTCAAGAAAGTGACAAGAAGGAATGGAGCAGCTGGATCAAAAACAAAGTGGTAAGACGCCTCACAGAAGAAGAAGCAGCGCAGGTGAGTCCAAGGAACATCTTCCGTGCACCAGCCCGAATGATTCGGGTGAACTAAGGAGCCATGAAAGGAATCCTCCAGGCCAAAAGCCGCATGGTGATCCCAGGTCATTTAGATCCAGATCTTGGCACATACAGGTCAGACGCGCCAACCTGTCCATGGGTCATAGTTCAGATGGCAAAAAGCATATGTGCCCTGAAGGGTTGGAAAGCCACCATTTTTGATATCACAACGGCGTTCTTATCTGGCAAAGAGGTGGAAACAATAGTATACATGAGAGCTCCCGTAGATGGGCTTCCACCTTGTGAAGAGCTAGGCGAGAGTGCCGTGAGGCCCATGGAGCTAATGAGAGTATGCAAATCAGCGTATGGGTTGTCAGAAGCTCCTCGGTTGTGGTATCTTAGAGCAACAGAACTGCTGATTGAATGTGGCTTCACAGAACTGCCGATGTGCAAGGCGGCATATGCGAAGAGAGACAAAAAGGGGCAGGTAGTATGCATCATCTGCCTCCATGTGGATGACGGTTTGGTCGTGTGCTCACCAAAAGAGCTGAAGCAGGTGAAAGCAGACTTAGATAGCAAATTCAGCATAAAGGAGTGGCAGGATCTATGTGAAAAACCAGTGACCTTTCTCGGTGTCAAGACTTCCTATCACCAGGGTATTTTTCATGATGACATGACGGAGTATGTCAGCAAGATTGATTTTGCCCCGGTGACAGGAGAAGATTCCGAGCCTCTCCATGGAAAAGCTCTATCGGCATTTCGGCGTCTCATCATGCAGATGCGGTGGCCGGCTCATTATGTCATGCCAGAGTTCTTGTATCGCACGAGTCACTTGGCTCAGAAAGTGTCCACGGCTTGTTTCTTAGATCTCAAAGAAGGCAATAACATTTTGAAGCAAATGAAAGAGTCAGCCACCAAAGGTGGAGCCAAGCTCAGTATCCATCCACTGAAGGGAGAACCTCTTTTTGTTTCATTTTTTAATGCCTCTCTGGGAAAGACTAGCGAAAAGAAAGGGCAACAGGGCGAAGTTCATTTTATCACTACAGTCAGTGCCTACACTGGAAATGCGATGGCCAATCTCATTGAATTTCACTCCAACAAGATCCAAAGGGTAGTTCGCAGCAGCTTAGCAGCAGAGGGATGTGCGATGGCGTCAGCGGGAGATCGAAATCTTTTCAACCGTGTTGTCTTCGATGCAATGTACCACGGATGTTTAGAAATCGGCTCAGACTGGAGGAATTTTATGAAGACCGCAGGATGCTTAGTCACGGATGCAAAGGGTCTTCATGACCACGTCCATAAGACGGGCGGTGTGGCCACTGAAAAACAGGCGGCCTTAGATATTTTGCTAATTAAACAACAGGTTGAAGAAAAGATCCTCAACCTAAGATGGACTCCAACTTGGAAACAAATGGCGGACCCCCTGACCAAAGAAATGGTCGGGAAAATTTTTGAGGAGTATAGGAAATCTTCTCAGATCTCTTTGATTCAAACGGCAGAAGACCAAAAAGAAGAGGAACGTAGGTCTGCCATTAGGAAAGCACAGCGAGAAAGGCGTAAGATCAGAATGAAGGCAACACTTTTTTCCCCTGATGTGATTGATCAAGGTGTGCACAAGAGGCACAAATCGAGAAGTGTTATCACGGCATGAGCACTTGCCTTCATTTTGACTGATCGCCGCATCTCAAGACATCGATGTTGCATTCGCAGCAAAAGGCCCACTGCTTGCTTTTGCATTGCTTTGCTGATTACCCCCTTTTGGAACGCCTTGGTTTAAGTTGGGCTTTTCCCACTGAATCTTTTTGCGAGGGTGGCTCCCTCGGCCACAGTCTCTGCCTGGTCAAGGGTAAAGACACCGATCAACCCCGACTTGAAACCTCTGAGCCAACTGCAAAACAACCAAGACGCTGCTGGAACGCCAATGCCGCCGCATGCATCAAAAGATGTTGCACTACGGATAAATTTGGCTTTATTTTCGCGTTTCGAGAGTTTCGAGAACGGGACAACGGGACGCTCAGTACCGAACCCATCCTCAGAGTTTCTAGGTACCTGCAGCGACACTCTCCAACCCAGGCCTTGTCTGAATGATATCGCGTTGGTGTGAGCGGCTCAGCAGATCTGCAAGGGCACAACCCAATCCCCCCTTCACTTTCCCCAGTCTTCAAGATCCTGCCTGAATATATTTGATATCACAAGTTGGTTTTGATGTCGTTTGACTGTCTCTCAGCCTTTCCAGCATCCCATGGCAGCTAGGTACCTCGACTGCAGGAGCTCCACCACTTTGTCAAGGCCGTCCAGCAGTTCTTTGGCTCCCATGGCCGTGATGTCGCGCAGTTTCGAACCTGCGACCTGAACCAAGGGGTGAGATACCAGTTTTATAAAGTCTTATGTGAAATTTACTTTTGATCTTTTCTGGTATGTTGTAACTATATATTGATACAGTAGATGGACACATTATTCAAACCCCGCATCCATGAATTGTAGGCTACCCCCTGTCCCCCAAAATATCAACGTTATGGCTTCGTATCTTTGTTCCTGACCTTAGGGTTTGATATGGTTTGATTCATTTCGTCCATTCGAAGGAGCGAACCAAACCAAAATAACAACATTGTAATTGGGTGTGCGGGGGGTTATTGGATTACAAGGTTTGAATCATTCGTCCATCTATGGTATGGTGAGATACCATGGTTTTACCCGAGTGAACTCTGGTGAAGATCACAGCATCTCATGGCATACTGTGGACTAGATGGACTAGGGCGATGCAGTTGGCATGGTAACGGAGACCCTGAGCTGCAGGAGCTGCCTGATGGTTGATGACCGCAATGCTGTCAATCCGCTTGGGCAACAAAGATCCCTGGCGCTTTTGCACATGCGAAACACATGCGGATCATGGGCAAATAAGATCAAATGCTGGCTTCACAAAGACTTGCCAATATAGAAACTGCACCTAATCATACCCAGCAACAGCTGCACCTGGCAAATATTTGTGGGATAAGGAGTGGGAACAAAGTAGATGTCTTCAAGACCACGGTCAAGCAGAAGAGGATGTACCGCCTGTTGGCCACATCGTGGCTAGCAAGGCAACAAGGTGGTGTCCATATAAAAACACATAAAAATACCTTCGACACAAACCGAATCTTTGATAATCTTTGCGCATCGCTTCTTGCGCGTCATCCTTTAGGGCAGGGTCTTGCTTCTTCCTGTTTACCTTCATCTTGTCCCCCTGAAAGGCCTTTTCAGGGAAATTCAGGTCTGCCATCAGCACGGTTGGAAGCTTCTTTCCGTTCACGATTTCCGCAAGGCGATCCGCAAATTCTCTTCGGGCACACCCAAAGGGAGCGCCAGGCACATGCCTAGGCGACTGTCGGTTGGCTCAGCTGGGGCTCTCATTAAACATGACATTGGATTTCCAAGGATTCAAAAATCAAATTATATCAAAATTTCCTATCATTTCCAATGATGAGCGTGATGAGACTGAACTCATTGGAAATCTGTACAGCCCAGGCACGTCGTCACCACACGCAAAGACTCTGTCTCAAGCTGGAAATGGACTTCTGTCACCACCTGACAGATTGCGAGAGGACGATGAAGCGGGTCCATCAAGGATGGTATGGGAGTTGGCTGCAATGCGGAGTCAACACGTCCGGCAAAATCCCAAAATGATTTTTCTGGAGAAAAGATGGCATAGAAGCCAAACAAGCAGTCATGAAACATGGATTTCAACCACCAAAAAATCCGCAGCTTTGAATCTGCGCCTTCTTGGAGTTCTCTGAGAAGGGGGGATGATGGGGAACATCCATCACCCTGAGCTTGGAATCGAAGACAATCACCTGCAACCAAGCTGGGATACAAACAATGCGAAACAATTGAGATAAACCCACCGGCGTCTTACAATATCCAAAACGACCAGGACTAGTGCACAGAGCACGGTAGCACAACATATATGTATGAAATTGCACAATTAGTACAGGTTGAGTAATTATATATTGGGATGCCCAATGGGCATCTTGGAAAGTGCGCGACTTTGTGCATCTAAAGTGGGGAAGGTGCAGAAGGAAAGCAGGAGGCTCACCATGACTTGCCTCCTGGTTCTTGTCCTGTTCATCCCCACTGCAGAGCATCTCAAACAGAAGGTTCTCACCCAAAGCTGCCTTCAGCTCTGCAATTAGCTCGGGCCAGCACTCTTGCAAACATAAAATGTTGATATTTGTCTTCAGCAACATCTCCTGGATCTTTTCGACGATGGTGCTTTCTCTTCTTTCTGCTTCATGCAATGTGGTAATCTGTGAGCCTTTCAATCCTTGCGTGTCTGCATCGATGTACTTGTAGTAGTTCCGGTTTAGAACATTCCATGAAGCGACCTTGAGGGAGCACTCGCCAAGTGTGAGTTTGGCTGCAATCGGCGGATGGTCAGAGGGAAACTGCCAGAGCTTACCAAGCCGTTTGGCCACCGGCAATTCGAAAGATCCCAACTTGCTGATGACCACCGTCTCCACGCAACTTTCCAACAAGAGCTGAGCTTTATGAAGACCTCTGCTGCAAGGTTTCTTCGTTTCTGGGTCGATTATTGGCTTCTTGATGTACTTCATGGCATCTCGGATTCGCTCCAATCCGTCTTGCGCTGCCGGCTGCTCGGAATCCTCGACGCTGTGGAGGCGAAACAGCAAGCTGAGCAAACTCTGACCTAGGGGCCAGATTCTGTCGATTAATTAGACATGTTGGAGCAACGGCACGCACTAACATGTTATCAGAACTCTAGGATTGATTTCAAAAACAACAAATTTACTGCAGCCGGGTGACGAACGGTACGAAGGTCATCGAGCGCATGTTCAATCACCTCTCCTCTGCCAGACTTCATCATCTTAATGAGGGTTTCGACATGGGCAGCGATCTGCCGCCACGCTCAAACAGCAGGGCCCTGAACGACGGAAAAGCATCAAAATTGCGACCAAAAACTGCCTAATGTAACTTCTGAAACCCATAGAAAAGGATGATTTTTTAGTTACTTTTTCCTTCTGCTGCTGCTGCTCCTGCTCTTGCTGCTCCTTCTGTTCAAAAGACAGCTCCCGGATGGGAAAACACCATGCAGTGAAGGACGGAAAACAAGCGTTCAAAATTGAGACAAAAAAACTACCTTAATTCCAAGCTCAGACACGGCGCCTCCGCCACCTCAACACAGCAGGGCCCTGAAGGAACTTGCGGGAAAAAAGCATCATACATTGCGATAGAAAAGGAGATTTTAGCGATTTTTCTCCTGCTGCTGCTGCTCTTCCTGCTCTTGCTTACTCCTTCTGTTCAAAAGACAAGAAAAGTAGCGTCTCTAGCTTTCCAAGCTCAGAAGAAACGGCGCCTCCGCCGAAGTCAAACAAGCAGGGGCCCTTGACGGCCGGAAAGCATCAAAATTGCGACCAAAACTCCCTAAGTGTAACTTCTGAAACCCATAGAAAAGGGATGATTTTTAGCTACTTTTTCCTCCTTGCTGCTGCTTTGCTGCTCATGCTATGGGTACGCCTTCTGTTTCAAAAGACAAGCTCCCGGATGGAATTTCCAAGCTCAGAAACGGCGCCTCCGCCACGCTCAAACAGCAGGGCCTTGAAGGACGGAAAAGCATCAAAATTGCGACCAAAAACTGCCTAATGTAACTTCTGAAACCCATAGAAAAGGATGATTTTAGCTACCTTTTCCTCCTGCTGCTGCTGCTCCTGCTCTTGCTACTTCTGTTCAAAAGACAAGAAAAGTAGCCATCTGCTAGCTTTCCAAGCTCAGAAACGGCGCCTCCGCCACGCTCAAACAGCAGGGCCCTGAAGGACGGAAAAGCATCAAAATTGCGACCAAAAACTGCCTAATGTAACTTCTGAACCCCATAGAAAAGGATGATTTTTTAGCTACTTTTTCCTTCTGCTGCTGCTGCTCCTGCTCTTGCTGCTCCTTCTGTTCAAAAGACAGCTCCCGGATGGGAAAACACCATGGCAGTGAAGGACGGAAAAGGGTCAAAATTGCGACCAAAAACTCCCTAATGTAACTTCTGAAACCCATAGAAAAGGATTATTTTAGCTACTTTTTCCTCCTGCTGCTGCTGCTGCTGCTCCTGCTCTTGCTACTCCTTCTGTTCAAAAGACAGCTCCCGGATGGGAATTTCCAAGCTCAAAAACGGCGCCTCCGCCACGCTCGATAGCAGGGCCCTGAAGGACGGAAAAACATCAAAATTGCGACCAAAAACTGCCTAATGTAACTTCTGAAACCCATAGAAAAGGATGATTTTAGCTACCTTTTCCTCCTGCTGCTGCTGCTCCTGCTCTTGCTACTTCTGTTCAAAAGACAAGAAAAGTAGCCATCTGCTAGCTTTCCAAGCTCAGAAACGGCGCCTCCGCCACGCTCAAACAGCAGGGCCCTGAAGGACGGAAAAGCATCAAAATTGCGACCAAAAACTGCCTAATGTAACTTCTGAAACCCATAGAAAAGGATCATTTTTTAGCTACTTTTTCCTTCTGCTGCTGCTGCTGCTCCTGCTCTTGCTGCTCCTTCTGTTCAAAAGACAGCTCCCGGATGGGAAAACACCATGGCAGTGAAGGACGGAAAAGCGTCAAAATTGCAACCAAAAACTCCCGCATGTAACTTCTGAAACCCATAGAAAAGGATTATTTTAGCTACTTTTTCCTCCTGCTGCTGCTGCTGCTCCTGCTCTTGCTACTCCTTCTGTTCAAAAGACAGCTCCCGGATGGGAATTTCCAAGCTCAAAAACGGCGCCTCCGCCACGCTCAAACAGCAGGGCCCTGAAGGATGGAAAAACATCAAAATTGCGACCAAAAACTGCCTAATGTAACTTCTGAAACCCATAGAAAAGGATGATTTTTTAGCTACTTTTTCCTTCTGCTGCTGCTGCTCCTGCTCTTGCTGCTCCTTCTGTTCAAAAGACAGCTCCTGGATGGGAAAACACCATGGCAGTGAAGGACGGAAAAGCGTCAAAATTGCGACCAAAAACTCCCTAATTTCCAAGCTCAGAAACGGCGCCTCCGCCACGCTCAAACAGCAGGGCCCTGAAGGACGGAAAAGCATCAAAATTTCGATAGAAAAGGATGATTTTAGCTACTTTTTCCTCCTGCTGCTGCTGCTCCTGCTCTTGCTACTTCTGTTCGAAAGACAAGAAAAGTAGCCGTCTTCTAGCTTTCCAAGCTCAGAAACGGCGCCTCCGCCAGGCTCAAACAGCAGGGCCCTGAAGGACGGAAAAGCATCAAAATTGCGACCGAAAACTGCCTAATGTAACTTCTGAAACCCATAGAAAAGGATGATTTTTCAGCTACTTTTTCCTCCTGCTGCTGCTGCTGCTCCTGCTCTTGCTACTCCTTCTGTTCAAAAGACAGCTCCCGGATGGGAATTTCCAAGCTCAGAAACGGCGCCTCCGCCACGCTCAAACAGCAGGGCCCTGAAGGACGGAAAGGCATCAAAATTGCGACCAAAAAGTGCCTAATGTAACTTCTGAAGCCCATAGAAAAGGATTATTTTTTAGTTACTTTTTCCTTCTGCTGCTGCTGCTCCTGCTCTTGCTGCTTTTTCTGTTCAAAAGACAGCTCCCGGACTCAGAAACGGCGCCTCGGCCACGCTCAAACAGCAGGGCCCTGAAGGACGGAAAAGCATCAAAATTGCGACCAAAAAGTGCTTAATGTAACTTCTGAAACCCATAGAAAAGGATTATTTTTTAGTTACTTTTTCCTTCTGCTGCTGCTGCTCCTGCTCTTGCTGCTCCTTCTGTTCAAAAGACAGCTCCCGGATGGGAAAACACCATGGCAGTGAAGGACGGAAAAGCATCAAAATTGCGACCAAAAACTGCCTAATG